GTGCGAGGGGATAGCCTCGGGGAGCCGAGCTCCTGAGGCACCCAGGCCGGCGTCGGACAAAGTGATGCCCGACACTCGTGTGAGGCCGTTGGGACTGGGAGGGCTGAAGGTGGAGGGTGAGATGGGTGAGGTGGGGCTCTGGAGGCAGCTGCGCGGGTTGTGTCCCAGGCACCCTTTTCTCCAGGAGACCCTTTCCCCTCCCTCGTCAGTGGAGTCTTGAGGGAAGAGCTGTGAGGGGTGCGAGACAGCCCGGCAGCCACCCCGGCCGTGGGGCATGAAGGCACAGGAGTTCTGGCGTTGTGTGGAAGAGTCAGGAGCGGAGGGGAGCAGGAAAAGGAGGGTGCGGGGTAGTGAATGTAGGTGGTTGCTGTGGGGCTCACAACCCTCTGGGTACAGCTCCCCAGAAAGAGCCCTCCTCTCGGAGGAAGGTCCAGAAGTCATGATGGGAATGAGTAGTCCATCTAACAAAAGCGTCCCGAAAGGAAAGTTTAGAAGCACTGGAACAGTTACAAAGGAAAAGATAACCAGCAGCACAACCCACTAATAAGAAATTGTTGCCAGGAGGGATATAACATCTTCCCTTTTCCATAGAGAACACGACGGTGATGTATTTATATTGCAGATAGGGTGATCTAGACCAAGCATTAAGGAAAACTTTGTTAAGGGTAAGAATAACTAAGCAAAAGAAGAGGTTGCTTACGGGATGGATGACTTGGGTAACTCTGGAGATTCTTTTAAGAGCAGACTAAACAAATTCGTCAAAGTGTGTGGATGGGTTTAAAGACCTACTGAGGTAATTTTCAGCCTTGTTTAATGTTTGCTAGCTGTAGTCCTGAGCAACACCTCTTCAGCATCACACAGCTTGTCACTCCAGTGGGTGATCTGCCACTACAGAGCTTTTCCGGTGAAGGGCAAAGAAGCTGTTACTGTTTAAAATAGCTTTCTCTGCTGCTTTGAACCAACCGAAGTACTGAGAACACCTAAGTGATTTCTTTGTTTCCTATTTTGTTAATGAAGCACTGCAATATTGGCTGAAAAAAACTTATTTTTGTTGATAGAAATTGTCATTGTGCCCCATTTCAGCCACATTTTGTCTTACATTGACAAAATTTCCAGTGTAAAGAGTGGTGAAATGTGGTCTAAATCAATAGAAAGATTTGAAAGTCATTATGATTGAAATTAAGAAGTTAGAAGTAACAGAAGATACTGGGCTCTGTAATAAGGTTTTTTTAAGTAGCTTTTTGATGTGTATAAAATGTATAGGTATTTGTGCATTTAAGTGACCTCTTAATTTTATGACAAATGAGTCATCTTAAATACCCTTTCCACAATGATATTGCCTGTTTTCTATTAGTTTTTTCTGATTGCACTTTTGAAGGAGATGTTACCCCTGTATTTGGCCCCAGTGTTCTAAATCTTCAACACATTTGCAAAATTATTGACATTACTGAGGTCAATGGGACTTTTAAACTGAAGGAAGTTAAACGTGTTAAATGTATGAATGGGCTGTTCCATAATGTATCCTTGTTTAATGACAGCACAAACTTTTGAGTCTTTGTGGCTCAGGGGAGCAAAGATTTCCTTTTCTTTTGCAGATGAGAAGGGAACAGTGATTTTAGGGGATTTCCTGGTTTTTACCCTTTGCTTGCTTACACATATTTGAGAAGGATTACATTACTTTTGATACATGTTTTTTTCTTTTTTCCCCTCCCAATTTTGTTGAATTGTTTTTCTTTTTTATTCCTTCTTAATACTTGTTTTTAAATTCCTGCCCATTCTACTGCAATAATATTTTTTTCCCATCACTTCTCTTCATATACAAGTATGGATTTTGAAACACTCTAACAAAACTATTCAGACATCTTCATAAAGTAAGAATCAGGAGGGTTTCCATAGTTGGCTTTGGTTGCAAAGCACAGCACCAGAGAGGTATTTAGGTGTCAGTGGGCTGAGCTGTCAGAGGGGGTTTTATTGTGTTATGCTGGGAAGACTCTGGTTTGTTTCAGACTGAGGTAACAGCCCATGAGATGCTCTTAGGATACTGCTGAAATTGAAGAATTTTTTGGTTACTTGGACATAAAGAACAACAAAGAAAGCCAGTGGCTGAACTTGAAAGCCCAGAACATAGTATCAGTCTCTGTAGAAAGACCTAGAAAAGGAATTTATCAAGATTATTAATTTTTTCTCTCTGTTGAATTCATTTGACATGGTCACAGCTGGAGACAGTATAAAACAGTAAGTGATAAATTTGTTTTTTTGAGACTTACCATAGCGGAGGGAGGATCTTGAGCTCAGTACAGAAGATAAAATCATGTATTCGAGAGAATTTCTATTTTTTGTTTATTTTCTGCTGTTTCTCATCTGGGCCAGGCTTTACAATCAATTAAATCAGTCTGAGTTTCACTGTTGACTCAGTGTGATCAGGATTTGTGTACTTCTGTATGAACCTAAACAGCTGGGAGAGAATTACTGATGATAACATGGACACAGTAACACTTTATAGCATTGCTAACATCTTGACTATTAGAAGAATGGGAAAATGAGTATATTTTTGTCCAATATAGGTTATTTCAGATGGAAGTGCCTGTAGGCTACGGAGCTTCATTAAGAAGAATCGTTCTGGGCTTACCAAAGTGGATGAATTAAATGCTACCCCACTTCATCATGCTGCAGAAGGAGGACAAATAGAATTAATGCAGTTGATCATAGACGATTCTTCCTGTGAAGGTAACACATGTTTTATGAACTGTTTTATTTAGCAGAATAAAAAAGTTCAACAATCAAAGTGTTAAACCATCTGAAGCAGAACTAGAAATAGGTGTTTCACCCCTCCCATCTCTAACCAATAGCATGTATTCAGCACAATATTTAATCTGTTTAACACAATGCACTGTGTGACATGCGATCTTTCCCTTTTTCTCTTCAAAGAAATATAGTAGTAGCACAGAGCTAAACCTCCATTGAAGACACTTTTTTTTTTTTTTTGTTTTCAGTGCAATTGGAACATTTGATGGTTTTGCTTTGGTTTTGGTTTTGTTTTGTTTTCTCTCCTTTGACCTAGTATTAAATGTGATGGATTCGTCTGGAAATACCCCACTGCACTGGGCCACGAAGAAAAACCAGGTTGAAAGTGTTAGTTTGCTTCTGAGCAGAGGAGCCAATCCAAACATTCTCAACTCCAATATGATGGCACCTCTGCATATGGCCGTGCAGTCCCTGCATAATGAAATCGTTAAGGTAAGTCCAAAGTCCACATAGACTTGATAAGTTGCTCTGCAGTGGCTGCGTGCAGAACTCAAAGACCTTGTTTATATATGCTGTATCTCTTCATATGCTTTGTTTAGCGAGCAGGATGTGTAACGTGATGCTTATGGAAATGTTTATGTCTTTATCATACCAAGTAAAAAATAACTTACTGATCTATATAAATACTGATATTTGTGCTGTGACAGTGGTTGTTATGTTTCATGGAGAATGCTTTTTAAGTTTTCCAATTTGTCTTTTTAATTTTGCAAAGACAAGGAATTTTCTTTAAATAGGCTCTTTTAACACGAGAATTTCATGTAGGCATGTGTTATTTCAAATATTTATGTTCTGATTTATTTTTTTTATTTTTTTTTACTGTTGAGTAGGGAGTCATACAAGTGTCAACATTTACTTGAAACTAGCATATTCTTTTAATGAAAAACAGATGAAAATTAGTCAGAAACACAGTTCTTAAAACCAACCTGTCAATAATCATTTGAATAATAGCAGAACTCAAGCTGCAATTAAAAATCACAAAAATATTTTGTGAAGACATTAATAAAGTGTCCATTTTGAATCTTCTAAAATAGCAACAGCGTTGAGATTTTAAGCAGCATATCTTTTTCATCATTTGTCCACATGCAACGAGCACATTTTTACTCTATGTGTGGCATTTGGGTAGAATTTTAGAATTTGTAAAGCTCTCGTGTTTACTGAGTGAATACAATTTTAACATAACAACACTTCCTTTTCCCTTTAAAGTTGTATCTTTTTCTAGTGCGTTCAAACAAAAGAAAGAAAAGCATATTCCCGTGTTCAAGACTTAAAATCCTTGAGAGATTTTCAGTGTTAAAATATGTCACTGTCTTCACATCTCTTACAAAGTCTGTATTTATTATGAGTTAAGAACAACTGAAATACAATGACATTTTAAAATAAGCTTTATATCAGGTTCTGGGTTTGGGTTATTTTACACCTCTGCTTTTGACTGAATATGACTCTCATTTTTCCCCACTCTGTTGTTTATTGAGGCTAATTCTCCTTTGGTTTCTATTGTTAAATTGACTGAGAGTGATTAAAATGTGTCACTTCCTCCAGTACAGAAAAATTAATTGGAATTACTGAAAGACAAATAAATGTGTAGGTAGAGGAATAAAAATGTATGGTCATTATAATTTCCAGATCCTTTGCTTCTCGAAAATGCTGGAAGCAGTCAGAGAGGTACTTGGTGATGCTGATAGCTTAGTGACTGCTGTTAACATAGGGACTGAAGCAGGCTTCCTGTCTTCATCAAGTCCTATCTCCCTTGATCTTATATAACTGTCCCATAGATGAATAAGGAAGCAGGATCTACAACATTGCCACTTTCCAGGGAATACAGAATATTACAAGACATTATAACAAGCTTTAGCTGAAAATCCCCACCTGCAATTTGCTACAGAAAAGATTTTCTCCCAGTATTGGGCAAACTGTTAAATAAGACTTTAAGATACTCTGCAGCTGTGCACAGTGTTTAATGTTGTTACCGGTCTATCTGCTGTAAAGAATTTTACTTTGCTTTGTCTGTTCTCACTTGCATTTTTCACCTGTATATTTTTTCATTCTCCACATTTTGTTTCTCTTTTTGTCTCTAAGTGTTGTGGGCTGTTGCCAAGGAAAAAAAAAAACAAGTTGCAAGAGTGCTATGGGTGATAAACAACAAAAATAATGAAGTAGGCCTTTGTTGTTGTGTTTGACTTATGTTTGACTGAATGTTTTCTTAAACATTTAGATTTTAGTCCAGCATAGCAGTACAGATGTTAATTTGGAAGGCGAAGCAGGGAACACACCTATAATTGTAGCATGTTACAAGGATAATCCTGAAGCACTGACACTTTTGGTAGGTATAACTATCCATCACCTTTTATTGTGAGTCTGTTTCCTTGATGCAGTGTTACTCTGTTTCTGTGATCTCTCTGTTCAGTGGAGGAAGGTTAATCATGGACCTAGTATTCAAGTTACCTTGCATAGGTTACTAAGAAACTTTAATCTTTTAACAGCATATAGAAATATATCTGAATGGCAAACTTAAGAGAAACTTAACTGATTTTGAAGGTCATGAGAACACAAAATGAATCGTATATGTACAGATGTATGGAAAAGATGTTTGTCTATAAGCTTCACAATGCATATACAACATTAAAAAAAAGGAGACAGCTACCCAGGAGACTGTATCTGTAATAGTATGTTCATTAGTCAGAATTTTCTATATGTTGTTAAGCTATATCCAAGCATTATTTTTCAGATTGAAAACGGAGGAAAAATATGTAAACCGAACAAAACGGGATGCATGCCTATCCATGCAGCTGCATTTTCAGGTGCAAAAACGTGTATGGAAATTCTCTTAAAAAAAGGTAAATACGCTGTTCCAAGCAGTCAGTAAGTTTCATTATTTATAGTAGCATTAGCAGTTTAGTGCTTTAATTCTCAATGAACTATGAAAACAAGCACTTATAACTGTGATTAAACTTAGAAAAAGTTAACACAATTATTCCTATGAGCTTGTAACTTCTGTAGGGTTGCAGTGGCAGCTTAACTGCTTTCCTGAATGCATGTCCATCCACTGTTTAACAATAGATGTGAAAGGTTCATATTTTGAGGGGGGAGAATATTATTCCACACTTAATGTACTTTTTTTGAAAGCCTTTATTTTCTGTTATCTCATTCTCACTTTTAAAAAATTCCATTTATTTTCATCTCTCAGGTGAAGAATTGGGTCACTCTGCTAAAACCCACATCAATTTTACCAATAATGGAAAGTGCAGTCCACTTCATTTGGCAGTTCAAAGTGGGGACCTTGAAATGATTAAAATGTGCATTGAATTTGGAGCCCAAATCGATCTAAAACAGGTAAAACTTGGAGGAGAGAAAAAAATAATTTTGATAAAAGCTAGGTATTTCTAAATCTCTGAGTGGTATGAAGAAAAGACGAGTGGATAATCATTGCTTATTGTCTCCTTCAGTGCAAAACCTAGGGAGCAACAAATGAAAACAAGTGTCCGGTGCAACTCAGGCAAAATGTACCAATTTTGCCTCATTGTGCAATTTTACACAAGTTGCATAGGATGTTGTGAGTATGAAAATTTTTCATGGTTTCAAAATGCATTTGGGCAGATTCATAGAACAAAAGTGGATCCTCACTACTGAATACAACAACATTCCCTCTGCCTCAGGGAAGTCCTTGAGTCATACTCAGTCTGAGAGAGCACTCTGGAGAATGGTACATCCTTCTTCACAAACTCTTCTTTACTTTGCAACTGCTGTTATTCCTTCCCAGAAACAGGATCTTCAGTGTGATCTGTTCTCATCATTGTTGTTCATCCTCAGCCTTCCCCTGGCCTTTACAGTTTCTTCTTTGTAAGGAAGCACAAGTTCGTGATAGTACTGCTGCTACTGTGATACTGTTGGTGTAATGGCCTGTGCCCAGATTTAGGATAAATAAACATTTTGAAAATATCTATCATTAATCAAATTGTTTTCAGGGCCAAAATCAACTTATGACAGCAAAGATGGCTAAACTTTGTTTAGCTGCCTTTTATTGGTTTCATTCTGTAAACACATAGCTTTTGATGAGATGATTTATGCTGCTCATTTTGTGATGGGTAAGACTGTTTTGAGAATGCTCATTCCACAGTGCTGGCATTGTGGAAAAGCCAGTTCCCATGCTTTCACTGGAATGTTCCTGTTCTAAAAAGGAGAAAGTCAAAACCCTCAGGCATGTATCAAAGCTAGTTTGTACCATTTAGCTAATTGAAATCCCGTTTCGGCAAATATTGTTCTAATAATTTATTTATTCCTTAATTTTATGACTGTCTAGCTTTTAATACTATATCATAGAATCACAGAATCATAGAATAGTTAGGGTTAGAAAGGACGTTAAGATCATCTAGTTCCAACCCCCCTGCCATGAGTAGGGACACCACACACTAAACCATGTTGCCCAAGGCTCTGTCCAGCCTGGCCTTGAACACCGCCATGGTTGGAGCATTCACAACTTCCTTGGGCAACCCATTCCAGTGCCTCACCACCCTCACTGTCAAGAACTTCTTCCTTATACCCAATCTAAACTTCCCCTGTTTAAGTTTAAAGCCATTACCCCTTGTCCTACCACTTGAGTCCCTAATGAAGAGTCCCTCCCCAACATCCTTGTAGGCCCCCTTCAGATACTGGAAGGCTGCTCTGAGGTCTCCACGCAGCCTTCTCTTCTCCAGGCTGAACAGCCCCAACTTTCTCAGCCTGTCTTCATATGGGAGGTGCTCCAGTCCTCTTATCATCCTCATGGCCCTCCTCTGGACTTGCTCCAACAGCTCCATGTCCTTTTTATGTTGAGGACACAACATATCATATCATATCATGTGAGACCAAGTTATTTTTAAACTACAAAAAATTTTATTCAAGAATGACTTCTAAGTAAGATTCCTTCTAAGGAAGTCAAAAACATTTTAAAATAACACATTTTCTGTATTACATACATTTGTTTGATTATTCATTTGTACTGATCTACCTATGTTTTGCTATAGTTTTCCTTTGCTTCATCTCTCATATTAAAGGGTGCAGTGTGTCTGTTTATTAATTCAACTACAAAAGATTGCTAGGAGTGTAATTATCTCATATCTTAAAATCTCTTCAGAGTTCCACTACTTCAGTAACAGACTGAAGTTTCATTACTTGCATAGAAATTTAGGCATTTGGGAATTATGTCTCCTGGGCTAGATCACAAGTGTTTTTAATAGATCAGAGGTTGGGTTGTTGGGGTTTAAATATTTAAGAGTTGTTTTATTTTCCCATTTACAGAATGAAAAATGCACAGCACTTCATTTTGCTGCCACTCAAGGAGCAACTGAGATTGTAAAGTTAATGATGTCATCCTATGCTGGTGAAGAATCCATTATTGATGCTGTGGATGGGAATAAGGAAACTCTGCTTCACAGGTAGGAGGCTACTTTGCCAGACTTCGCTATATATTGTGACCCATGATATTTTTAATTATTCTCAGCATCCAACTATATGTTTTATAGTATACTTTGGAACATCCTTCCTCATGGGGGATAGCTTTAGTACAATATGAAAGAGTCAGTAATTTGGTCAGAATCATAAAGATTTTGGTGCTGATATCCAAATCAGAACAGTTCAAGTTACATTGGAACCATGTCAAGGAATGGTCACTAACAGTTTGTATTGAAAATTTACTCCACTAAAGTAGTAGGTGAATAAGTTAATGGAATTTTTAACAGCTTCTCGGGTGAGTTGGGTGGAGAAGAGATTCAGAACAGCCCTGTGGAGAAGGACTTGGGGGTGTTGGTTAATGAGAAGCTTGACATGAGTCAGCTTCAGTGTGCGCTTGTGGCCCAGAAAGACAACTGTATCCTGGGCTGCATCAAAAGAAGCATGACCAGCAGGTCAAAGGAGGTGATCCTGCCCCTCTACTCTGCACTCGTGAGACCTCACTTGGAGTATTGTGTCCAGTTCTGGTGTCCTCAACATAAAAAGGACATGGAGCTGTTGGAACAAGTCCAGAGGAGGGCCACGAGGATGATCAAGGGGCTGGAGCAACTCCCATATGAAGACACGCTGAGGAAGTTGGGGCTGTTCAGCCTGGAGAAGAGAAGGCTGCGTGGAGACCTCATAGCAGCCTTCTGGTACCTGAAGGGGGCCTATAAGGATGTTGGGGAGGGACTCTTCATTGGGGACTGTAGTGGTAGGACAAGGGTAATGACTTCAATCTTAAATGGGGGAAGTTTAGATTAGATATAAGGAAGAAGTTCTTTACAGAATAATATAAACAGTTTAAAAAAATATTTCCTTTTTTCTTTACCCTCAAATATATGACTATTATACCAATAGTAGTCTGGTATATGTGTGTATATATATATGTAGTTGTATGCCCTATGACTACAAAGTTGCAGATGGCATTTGAATATGTAATAGTTCTCTAGACTTCTAGTCTTTCACAGTCCATTTGAAACCAGAGCACTAGACTGTGGAGAAATTTCCTCAGTCTTCTGCAGCGGAAATACGCTTAATTAAATGTGCTGGCTACCAGCTCTATGGAAGATAGTATATTTCCCCATCCATATATTTTTGCAAGAAAGATATGTCTCACTGCATTTAAGTGTAATAATTTTACAGTGTTATTCTGCATGTGGTTTTACAATATGAAATAATTGGTATAAAGTCAGAGGCAGTGGAGATGATTGTTCTCTGGACACAGCATAAAGTGGAATTATTTGAAAATAATTGAAGAAATTAAATGGGGAGTGTGTTGTAAAGTTAAGATAAGTTTTGGGTACAGCTGGGAATGCTACTGTGATAGAACATGACTGAAGACAAAGTGATGACAGAATGCCAAAGAAAATTGTGTAGACACAACACTGCTTAATAGATAACTGCCTGTCATATCCATGAAAATGATTGTCCTTGGAAAAAGCTTGGAAAAAGATTTATATTCTTTTAATCCCTGTGTCTGTGAAACAGCAGAAAAAATATTATCAAGAATGATCAGAAAGGTGGAAAGTCACCCAGATCTCTCAGAATATAAATAAACTGAACAGGAATGTTAACTTGTTGAGAAGTGAAGGAGCAGTGCAGAATAAGCAGGACATAATCCTTTCACAGTCTTACTGTTATGTTTCCATCTAAATATTTTATAAAATCACTTTGTTTTCTTTTCAGTCACCTTGGAATTTATTTTGAGTATGTGTGAAGCATTCAGTATTTATGTCTGGCTGGTAGAGGGGTCTACTATAGATAATTGAGACCTCTTTACTTGTTTGGAACCATGACATCATTTTTAAAATACATCTTTTGAGTAATCAGTTCTAACTATAATACAGCCAGGGTTATCACCTCTTATAATGCTAAGGGAACTGTTATCTTTAAGATACAGCACAACCTTGGAACTGTCCTTCTGTGTTGCTTATTTAGTCAAAATATGTAGCAGAGATCTGACTTCTGAAAAGGTTTAGGCTGTGTGTGCTACCCGTGCTATACTTCCTGCTTTGACCAGGTTTTCCTTGTAATATATAACTCAGTGTCTAATTGTAGAATAAAACCTGAATTTTTTTCATGTGTATAGACAGCTTTAAAATACTTTTAGTAAATTATTGTCACCACAATTTATATCAGTATATTTTTTGCATATATTTTCAAATGGACTTGCCTGCCACAGTCAGGATACGTGTTTAGCCATTGCCATTTTAACCCCACTCTAGCATTATTACACAAAATGTATAGGAAGTTATTTTTGAAGATTGGATCAGTGAAATTGATTGAGGATCTAGGTCTGCCTGAAACAAACCGAGTCTGAAGTTTATGGAATTCCATATTGACATTGTGTGGTACAGCAAAAGATCTGACATATGAAATGGCTGGATTTGTTAAAAACCAGTGGTAGAATACCTGTTGACCCACCAATGAGGTCTTTGTTTCCCACAGTGAGTGTTCAATGTGTTAACTGAACAGAACGTAGTTTAAAAATGAACTGCATGACAAAAAACCAAATCAATTTATTAAAATTAATTATGTAATAAAGGTATTTCACTGTCTTTTAGTTTGAAATGTATTTCTTTGAAAATATTAGAAAATGCAGCACATGGAAATGGATGCTGCCCTTTGGCTGGAAATTTCATTGTCCTATCTAATGTAACTGTATTTTTGCATTTTCCCCTACAGGACAGCATTGTTTGATCACTATGAACTGGCAGAGTATTTGATTTCAATGGTAAATATTTAATCAAGCAACATGTTTATAGAGATTATTGCTAGCTGTTACTACAGGTCTGCATAGAGAAATTCATAAAGGAAAATGTGTTCTCAGGTATAGGTTTAGATATAATATATATAATTTCATAATGCCTGATTGACAGTTGCAGTACAATGGTAGATGTGGCTCCTTATTAGCGTTCCACAGTTACAGAGGATTAAAAACTTGCATTTTTATTGCCATTTTACTTATTCAGAAAGGTTTCATAAACACCTTTTATCAAATATGACAAACTGGTTTAGTCATCCTCGCGTTTAGAATGTGAAATACAGAATAAATGCTAAATATATATTGAATTTCACCTGATTTTCCCAGCAAGAAATCCTTTCTTTAAAGTATGTAAAAAGATTAAAAGATTGTTCTGGTGTCATATAGCCATATATTCAAGTTGTGCATGATCTAGAAGTAATTATACTCTGTGTAGTTTGGTTATATTTCTCCACTGAATAATTATAAGGGAGAAAGAAGAAATGTAACCAGGAATGCTACAGGCTGTGATCCAAGTGTCCATTTATAGCAATTAAAACTAAGACTCATATAGTCATTATATGTCCCACTCAGCTAAGAAAATTCTTCAGAAGTCATTTGACTTATTTTTAATTTTATTTATATTTAGATTTTTTACTTTTTTTCATTAGAATTATTTTAAGACAAATTCTCTTCTACATACCTTTTGTTTTTCTCAGAAACTCTGTTGTAGGGATTGTATTTAGTCAGAACTAGATATTATGTTTATTTTTAATTAAAATGTGCGGTGGTGAGGTGTAACTGCTTAAACTTGTCTGACTAAACAATCTATCTGAAGAAGTTATTACCTGAGAAATACAGGCACAAGCATAAGGTATCACCTATGCTGTGGTGTACACAAGAGTGATAAAAAAAAGGTGGAGCAATGTTACTGCTCAAAAGGAATAGCAAATACCAGTTCAGAATGGCTTTCTGGTTTTAACAGAAAACAGCATTCATTTATTTTATACATTAAATATCCACATTTCATGCATATCAGCTTAAAATGATTGCTTCCTTTATCTTACCTTTGGTACTTTTTGTGTCTGAAAATAAAAGCCATTGTAAACAGATACAGTGTTACATCTAGCTCTTCTAGACAGAAAAGGTAAGTTTATCTATGGTAAGCAGAATTGTCTGGGTACATTATGTATGCTATTTACATTTAAATTACACCAATTTTTTGTAAGTTATAGGTCAGTGTGCTACACAAAAAAAGCAGAGAATCAAATGCTACAGATAGATAGTATTTTGCAAATCCTTATAGCTTCAAATAAATACTACTTACAAAATGGTTTGCACATTAAGCATTTTAAACTCAATTACCTGAGCAATAATGTCAAAGTGGCCATTGTCACATTGGACAGGTGCACAGTATCTGGTTTGTGTATGCATTGGTGATTAAAGATTATGTTATTAACTGGAAACTGTGGCCCTGTATTCATTGAAATGAATGAGCCCCCTGAATAAAAAGGTTCTAGTTTCTTTGATGAATAAGAACATTTTTAAGAGGTTGTCTGACCTTGTAGAAAGGTAACTGGGGAAAGGGTCCTCCATGTGTTAATCTCAAACATTTCACCAACATACATTGGAAGCTTCCTGTTCTCTATGGTAATCACTGTACATTTATTAAATGTTTCTTATTACTACAATACAGGTTTTACCATGCTAGAAAGTAAATATTGCTCTTGATTATGATTAATTCTCCAATTATGACTGGACCCAAAGGTGATTCAAGTTAATGGAAAAACTCACATTGATTTTTTTTTTTTTTCCCAATGATCTTTGGATAGTATCTGAAATAAAATATGGGGGTTTGTGTACTTTGTTCAGTTCATCAAATTTGACTTGCAACTCAATATCTAGAAAAGTATATCTAAACCATCATAAAATATACATATATCTCATTCGTGCATTTACTTGTATCATACTGCATTCTTGGTGGGATTTTTTAGACAGGTATATGTGTGTTCATAGTATTTTACTGATATGATCATAATGATATTGTAACCATAGTCACCATACTGTCCTGGCAATATGCACCTTGTGCAAAAATAGACAAAACATCAAAACCGTGCTTTTGCCAGAATATCACATTCCAGTCCTTGTGCTTCCTCTAGTGAAAGGATCAAAAACCTTGAGTTTGGAGAATAAAAACGTGTCTGCTGTTGATACAGCTACTTTGTAGTCAAAATTAACTTGTCTTATATAGCTTATGATGAAGAATAGAAAACAAAGATAGGGCAAGCTATACAGATTAAGATATACTAACCCCTGAATGCATTCCTTGTTGAACAGTATTCATAAAGTGTAGAGGTTCAGAAGGGTCTTGTTCTGGTAATTGATAGGTAAGATCACATCATTCAAAATGACTGCAATTTTTGTATTTTTCCAGAGCTTCAATCCCAGTATTTTTAAGTTAGAATTATATATTTTGAGTATTTAAATGTATGGAAAGGCACCCTAACAAAAGATCATGACTTGTGATAAAGTTGAAATTCCTTATTGCAGGGGGCTAATATTGATAGTGTTGACATAGAAGGTCGATCCCCACTTCTGTTGGCCACTTCCTGTGCATCATGGAAAATTGTGAATTTACTGCTCTCAAAAGGTAAAAAGGAATATACACATACAATACACTTCCTTTGAGCAGGGTTCATATGTGTTAAAACTGTGTCTAACTTTCCTCTACATTTCAATTCAGTACTTCAGCATACAGTCCAGGAGCAGCTGAGCTAGACAGCTGCACAGCGCTGGTATCCCCTGAGATAAAGGAAGAATTAGTGTGATGATTTCACCCTTTCTAATACAGAGTGAACAGGCTATAGAAAAATGTGTATGCCACATGTCATGCTTCTCCGTATATCAAGGTAGATGTGGCACTGGCACTCCATTGCTGCATTCCTTAGCAGTTCACAAAGTAAGCAGAACTGTGGAATAAATACACCACTTATAGCCGTGTTTCATAGCAGCAATCAATCTTTAAATGTTAAAGCCCATATTTCAAGCATTACCTGTGATTTTATATAATCACAGTCACCTTGAAAATGTTTGAGCTATGTCGTTCAATGGCTATAGTTTTGGTGGAAGGTAGTTATTGTTACTGTATTTTTCTCTTGTTAATAGTAATGTAACTGATTTGTTAATAAGCCCTGTAATAGGTTTTGAAGATGTAGCAAGATTACAACCTTAAAAGATTAGAAGACATGGTTATCTGAATCTTTAAATTACCTTGTGGTTTGTGGGTGCTCAGTATCTCTGAATATAACGGCCTCATGTAAATCTTAGTTCTACCATAAAATGCAAAATACATATACATACGAGATAACTGTGAAATCTGAGTGTCATTGTGGGGTGTGTGTAAGTACAATTGTATGTTAAAATGCTGGCTTGAATAATTGTTACTTCATAGATTTATAAACACATTTGTTCCTTTGTCTTAAATGTCATCAACTGGTGTCAGGAGCCATCAGTTTTGAAGTTGCTGGTACTTATTTCCATATTTATCTAGGAGCAAATGTATCATTAAAAGATCATCTTGGTCGGAATTTCTTGCATTTGACCGTATTGCAGCCTGGAGGATTACAGCATCTAAATGAGAAATTTCTGCAGGTACAGTAAGCATCATTTTATGTCTTTCTGCTACCTTTAGTAGAAAATATAAAGACAAAAAGCAACTACCATTTATTTTGGAATGTTTGTAAAAGTTTGTGGTATTTGTTAAGTTGCCCAGTGTCACAGAAGATAGTTTGAAGAGGTACGTATCTCTCATGAAAGCATTTCAAAGCCAGTAATACAGTTTTCTTATTGCCAGGCAAAGGAATAACATAATCCCATAAATTATTTTGCTGTTGGGGATTGAATAGCTCAAGAGGTAGGCAATAAAATATAGAACTTTTCACTTCTATTTTCCCAGCTTGCATGCAGGAAAGCTAGGGGACGTGCTCATTCATATTCAGTCAAGCTCTAGGACTTAAATAGTTTACAGCATGTTCTCCAGGAGCTTTCCATAGACTGGACTGTAATGAAATCTTGGATTTAGTTTTAGAAAGGATTTCAAACATGGATTTGTATTTGGCTGTGCTGAGGTGAAGCAGTTACATTGCTAAAGCCCAAGCTCACTTGAAAGAATAAATTTGCTAGTCTCCAGAGCTCCAGAAAGAACCTTTTAAGTGTGGATAAAGTATAACCAATCGTGCAACATCTGCTGAAATCTGTAAACAGCTTTGATTAGAAATGTGGAATGGATTTAACCTCCCTTTTTAGCAGATGTAGAGAATTAGTTTTAAACCAGAGTGGTAACTCTCAGTTGTCTGCATTGACTTTCTAATTATTGATCATACTAAAAATTCAGACAGAGAAGTGGAGCAGACGTGGGGAGGAGATTATTACTTGCTTTAAGAAAGGGCTGTACATAGGATAGTGTTAGACAACGTATGGAGCAAAAACAGGGTAATAAAGATGAGAAAGAGAAATATGGGAAATAAAATTACACTGTAAACCAGTGAACTGATGGTTTTTGACAGGCAGAAGTTTTGCTACTGAACACAGACTACAGGCTACCCTTGTGTTCTGTACAAGCCATTTGCTGGCAGCATTGAGTATTATGGTTGAATGGCAGCAAAGAGGAATCTCCTGCATTACACTTGTACTGTGATGGGTTTTCAGAGTGGCAAACTGCTGTGTTCTTCAAAGTGTAGTTGTTTGAAAATATGGTGACCCACAAATCAGCAGACATTAAATGCTCACTGTTGCTAAAGCTACTTTTCCTAAAATTTGTTTCTTGTTTTTTAAGAACTGCTTTTAAGTATTACTGCTATTGTAACAAGCTATTAGAAACTGTGCAGCATAAATTATATAAATATAATTCTGTGCTTTTGGGGTTTTTTGGGGGTTGACAGATGGAACACATTAAAAATCTTGTAGTGGATGAAGATAATGAAGGATGCACTCCACTGCATTATGCATGCAGACAAGGTGTGGCCCTCTCTGTAAATAATTTACTCAGCCTCAATGTTTCCATCTACTCTAAGAGCAGGGACAAGAAGTCACCATTACACTTTGCTGCCAGGTTAGTACAGCAGTCTAGGAAATGGAATCAATGCCATTTTTTCCTCAGTATTTTTTTGACAATTTCTGTGTTTATCTTTCAAAGCTATGGGCGCATCAATACATGTCAGCGACTTATAAGAGATATGAAAGACACAAGACTTTTGAATGAAGGTGATAAGAAAGGAATGACTCCTCTTCATTTGGCAGCCCAAAATGGTCATGAGAAAGTAGTTCAGTTTCTTCTGAAGAGAGGGGCCCTTTTTCTCTGGTAAGTGTTCTGATCAAAAAAGAACCATCAACCTAAGTTTTATGTCCGTATGCTGGGAAGTTATGTAAATATAAATGCAATATATGGAAATATTTAATATATTAATATTCAAAAATATAAATATACACTATAAGAGCATATTTGTAAAATGTTTTATAAAACTAAGCTTATTGTGCCTTGCTTCATCCTGACACATAGAATCATAACTAGATGTAAAGCAAGGCTTCTAATGCTGTGGGAACTGAGGTTTCTCTAAATCAAACTGAGAAGAATATTGAGCCTTTTGATGGAAAAGATATTAGTTTTCATAAAGCCAGGAGCCAAAGCTACCAAAAGTTTAGAGTCCTGTTTCGAAGGTACAGTTTAGAGATTTAACTTCTATGTCCTGTGCTTTCCCAGTCCAGTGCAGCTACACCTTGGAGCTAGGGGCCTAAGCATTTTGAGGAAACCCTTTACCTAACAGACCTGTCATACAAGCATTATTTGTGACTGCCAGGAGCCAAAGCTACCAAAAGTTTAGAGTCCTGTTTCGAAGGTACAGTTTAGAGATTTAACTTCTATGTCCTGTGCTTTCCCAGTCCAGTGCAGCTACACCTTGGAGCTAGGGGCCTAAGCATTTTGAGGAAACCCTTTACCTAACAGACCTGTCATACAAGCATTATTTGTGACTGC